AGGGGATTTTGCCAGTAGTGACACATTTGGCAGGCGGTTGGCAACCGCAGTGAGGCTTTGGAGATATTTTAAGAGGGACGCTGCTGCCCATCCCTCGCCCTCCATTAGTCGCCTCTTATGATACCCACGGGAAAGGAAGGGGAGGCCTATTTTCTGCCCGGACCACACGGCTAAACTTGAAGAATAATTAAAGGAATGTTTGCAAAGACACTTCCTTTAACCCATTAGGTAATCCTCAAAATTTTTAATAATTTTTAGAAGTATAGAAACTTGAATAATTGTATTAAACAATTGATCTAAGAATTATAGGAGAGTACCAGAAACATTTGTAGGAATATGTTTTTATTAAGTAATTGGTATATTATTATTCTAGACTGTAAAGTATATATACTATTGAAGAGTAACATTAGTGTGTCAGATTGCCGGCTGATGGATGGATGGCTGACGATTAAGTTTCGCCGCGCCGTCTCTGTATGTGGGACACCATTCAAGGTTTCGCAACAGTAAAAGTACCTGCCTACATAGGTCATAACGAGACGCTATGAAATTCTTCATGTCACGTTGAGTGCGGTTAAAGTATACGTGAGTAAGTTTTGAGTGGGTAAAGAAATGATAATTTTTAACTAGGTATTATGATCTTGGTTTGGTTGCTATTATTAGTACGTATGCCATTATAAAGGCTTTTATCAAAAATACCTATAAAATTAATTTATGGCCCATAAACTATAAACAAAAGAATGTGATGTTGTCATTGATGCATTTAAGAGGAGAAACTAGCTGACTGTCAGATCTATATAAAACTGAACAGCTTGACTTAGTAAGAGGGTTCAGTTTATAAATAAAGAAGAAAATTCTTGAAATTCTCTTGAAAATGCAGGTGAGTTTTATGAAGGCGATGCCCTAGAAATATATAGTGTAATTACCAGAGGAAGACGTTTCACATTAATTATTTGCTTGGGTACTTCTCCCTCTCTTCTTTTTGTCCTATTTGTTTTCCTGTTACTTCTGTTCCTGTTCAAGGATTGGAATATGGCATTGAAATTATAGGGTACGGAGAAATAACATCATAGTCCTCAGAAATGGCAACACATGACGGGTATTATGAGCATCATAGTTTATTCTATGATATCCACAATGCTGCTAATGCCTTTAGGTAATAATAAATATCACTATCTATAAGGTGGACCCTTAGTTTGTTTGCTACACTGTGTTGCATAAAAATGATAATTTTTTTATGCAACTTAGAATGGCAAACAAGCTGATGGTGCACCTGATGGAAAGTGGTAACCGCCACCTATAGACATGAACAGTACCATGGACATAACAGAATAGTATATTGTTTCGCCCATGATATCCCCCATGCGTTGCTATTTCTGAGTACTCAGGTGTTATTCCTCCGTACCCTGTGAATTCACTGCCACTCTTCAAATCGAAACACAGATATGCAAACACAACTGCTTCATGGTAGAAACACGAATGGGACAGAGGTGAGACCCAAGCAAACGACTTATGTCACAATGTCGTTTTGTACAAAAGCGAACATACATATAACTTAAATAATACCTATTAGTGTTGTGTTACGTTATAGTAACATGTTAATTACCCGGGATCAAAAGTAGCCTGTTTTCTTCTTTATGCTGAATAATAATCTGTGCTAACAGTTCTTTACACATTTTTCATATAAGTAAGAAATACAGTAGTTCGCTTTGTCATTCGTATATGTATATCGCAGTTCTATATAATGATCATGATTTTGACTTTAAAACTGTAAGACGACTCAGTAAAGAATAAATGCTACTCTCAGTACATAGAGAAGTATTATTTAGATTATTATCGGAGTTCATCTATTCAGCAGCGTGGTCCACAGAGCCCTCTTCACATGTCGGCACGTTACTTAAAGATGGCATTGTCCGTAGTCATTATCTGGCGTGGGAGACCCGGAATCATGCCACTTTAGCATGTTTATCTTCTATATACGAGTATATATTAAGTATGTTTATAAAAATATAGTAATAATATGCTGATAAGCGCTAAGAATTATAATTATTTATACAAAACTTGCGTCTTAATTTCTACTAAAATATTATGCCCTCATTCTTCGAATGGAAATTTAAAAGAAACGGTGAGTGAGAGTCACGAGTTTTTAGGCTTCATTATTTCATATCTTGATTTACTTCATGACTTATTGTCAACTAGAATGTAAGTAATTGATCGTACTATGCTCTTAGGTATCTACAATCAATTTAATATTTTCTGGGATTCTTTCCAATGAAAAAAAGCAAGTCCTACCCTATTGGATTCATTATCATTGTATACCAAGTAAAACATCATATAGATATAAAAAAAAGAATACTCTTCTAATCTTCAGATTTTACTACACTATTTTTTTACTATCGAAAATAGCAAATAAACTGATAATTCACCAAAAGAAAAGTAGAAAGGTCGCCTATACTTATATATTAAAAATATCACGGATATCAAACATTATAGTCAGACAGTATTGTCAAAAATATCACTCATTTTATTATCATTATAGCTCTTGAATTTAAAATTTCACTGGAAATCATTGTACTATTTCAACTGAAAAAAAAATACTGAATTTATGCTTTATGACACGAACGATTAGATGGAACACCGTCTTATAATTTTATAGTTCTACTTTTGTTTGACTAACCAAAGCTGAAAAATAAAACACGAAAATATATTACCAGCAGTTTAAGTAGTAAGTAAGGTATTTGCTCTTAGTTTTTTAAAATTATTTAAAGTGCTCTTTATTTAGATATTGCATTATAGTTCAGCCACAGTGCACCAAAGTTCGCGTGACTCCTTATTATATTAAACAATAACGTGAAAGGTTGAACCTCATGTTGAGAGCGAGCGAGTGCCAAAATACAGTTTCACGATTGTCGTTTACTAGTTGTAATAAATTATAATCAAGGACATTTAAACCACTATTCAATAATGGATTGGAACGCTAAGCAACGATTCTCTAACTCTTTGTTGATAAACACGTTCATGTGATTCGATGAATCCAATGAATTGGTATTAAATGACATTTCTATAAAAATATTCTCACGAATGTAATCCCCAGTAGAAAGTTAAAGACATGTAGGTTTGTTGATTTGGTTGCAATTGTGGTGAATATAACTGGTAAGTTCTTGCTTAGATATCGCAAAGCCTAATTAAAGTAATGCTGATAAGTTTACTGTCACCTTTCGTATCAAATTATGTCTGTTAACTCTGGTATACGTCGAAAAGTTAATCGAATTTATATTAGTAGAGAATAAAGATTAAGATATAAAATACAGATAATTGAGATAAAATATAATAACAATTACATGATAGGAAGTAATTCCACTTTTCACTGGACTCCAGTTGGCAGAATGATTCAAGGAGAAGATATAATCACCTCCAGGAATATTAGAAAAAGATATCCTTGAAGTAAATATGCATAGGATGTCTGGTCCTGCGATCTTCTATAACTATTTACCAGCTGAAGGAGGTGAAAGTGAGGTTTACCACTATACCATGTACCGAATTGCCACCATATTAAACGGGTGAATATTGAAGAGTTTTTTATACAATGTATATTATATATACCTGATACATGTAGGATGTTCAATAAGCAACAAGTCGCTATGTCTTTTTAAATATATTGTTATCTAATTTTGAATAACTTATAATTTATATTACTATATAACTTATATTTGTGGACAACTATTTATTAATAAGCTGCTTAACCAGAAGATAGTATTCATCTTTGAAAGTTTGTAACTTATTGAAAATATAAGATTATATAGATACATAATATCTGCAAAATATGGTCAAGTATTATAAATTTGTTATTAATTCAAAAAACCCACATTGTTAGACCTTTTTTAGATATCGTTTCAATTCGCAATAATGATGCTTCACACACCATTTTTGGAGAAGTGAGTGGCTACCTAAATTTTGGAAGTAATATTAGCGGATAAACACAAATGACTCAGAAAGTTCATCATACGTTATTATTTGAATCTTGCCAACCGTTTGAATGTAACGGTTATCATTCGAATTAGCCGTTGTTGTTTATTTTATTATAATCTAAATGGCAAAGGTTATATTTAGAACTAGATATGTTTATACATTTTTAGATAAGCATGAGGTAAAAATATATGGGAATTATTAAACGTATGTATAACCTACATTTTGAATTAAAAATTACTATATATACTGTAGAATAGATGCTTTAATCTAGTTCCCCGATTATTTACATAACAATATGTATCATAACAATGAGACGGATTAATCGTCTAATGGATTGCAAGTCACAATAGTACCGCAGTATGCATACGGTATAGGTAATAAAATAGGGATGTGGGATAGATGCACGGCGGCGACGAATCTACAATTTTAGTAGATCTAAAATGCCAAGTTAATATAGTCTTTGTGTCTTATACAATAGAAGTTAATTGGACTGTTTAAGAGTTTTTGCAAATATGTCTACCGGAGTGTGGCAAGAGGGGTTATAGTACGAGGGGAAGTAAACCCTCGGACGGTGCATCGCTGCAAACGTTCCATTTTTGTAAATTTTGTTTATCACCTTTCCAGCTGATTTAATCAGAATATAAAATTAATATATGTTACAGTAGAACTTATATTATACATTAGGGAAGACATATTTGAAAAAAAAATAACGACTTTTTTACAAAAATATATAAATAAATAGGATTATTAATATCTTACAATATGTAAATTTATTACACACTTATTTTGCCTAATTAATAAATGTGAAATAAGATACTTAGTTTATAAAATACCTAAATATAAACAGTTATAAATGTAATCTATTTTTCTATTAATTTAAATTGTCTATACTAACAACAAAAATTATCTATTTGTGAATAACCAAAAAACAATAAAATTGCTTTATTAACTAATTTTTTTATTATAGCTACATTATATTAATAAATACCTATTATTTTTTTACATCCATACTCAATACCATACTAATTGCTTACCTCTACAAGGAAATTAAAATGATCCACACAAAAGGCGATGTTCAGGCATTAAATTTAAATTTGCAACATAATAATTTTTTTAATAAATAATTTTTAAACAAATCCATTGTTCACTGCACTAAATTCATTGAATATCGATCGCGATGTTTCAGATGCACTCGTGATTAATCAACTGCTGAATACTGCGGCGCTGTCGGAGTAGCGTTCGCTTCTAGCGAATGTCGTTTTAATACTAACCTCAAACAAAATAACGCGCGCTACGCTCAAGAAGTTGTTTTTGCTGCTCATACACCGTATGTAGGGTTCAGCTGCGAACAGAAATGAGTTACTGAACCCCACGAATAAACACTAGTCGAGGTGCATAGGGGAATTTAGTACAAATCGCTACCGATAACATGTTAATTTAAGATGTACTCCTGGAGTTAAGAAACTTATGAACTGTATTTTTATAATTTTAATAGCATAATTAATAAGCTTATGTTAAGAAGGGGCGGTACTTCAAAACATAGGAAATGGTTGGAATTTAGTAAAGCGTTAATGTTAATGGTAAACAAGGAACGCGTTTCCTGTTAAACAGCGCACCTAAATTGATAAGAGTTTATTGGTAGGTAACATTATGTCTGAAATTGTGTACAAAAATGCAAAAGTTGAACAAATTCTTATCAATAAGATAAAAATTCCTCCTTTAACAATGTATATTTAAGTATGTTATTTACTTAACGTTAATTACATTTAAATTAATTAGGCATGGAAGTAATAGAGTTATAATAAATATTAGAAACTTTTTAACGAATGAATTGTACAAGGATAATATGAAGTTGAAGATACTTTGTTAAAAAAAACCTCTTAAGACGACAATTTGTGTACCTGCGCCGGCGTGTCTCCTTTAAGAGCCCACACCCATCCCTTTGAAAGCATTCATGCGTGTGAAATGAATGATTTTTAAAAGCCTTCAACAAAAACCTGCTCAAAATTCTAACCATTGATGAGCTCAAGTGGTTGTTTAATAATCGTCAACTTTCATTTTATTTTGATGCCTATGGTTTTAAAATTTTATTACATATATTTATTATTGTAAAATTACTTACATACATATAACGATATAAGTAAGTACCTATCTAATTATGAGTCACTATTTTTACGATACTAACAGCTTAAAAATTTTATAAAGGAAAAATTGAATTATTACCTGCACTTATGATAAACCTAATTTATGAACGCGATGCTCTATAAATATATATATTTTTTATTAACTTTATTATAACATTTGGTTGTATAACTTAGTGAAGGTCTACAAACGAGTGGGAAGAGTGCCCACGATCGTCGCTGTTTTATTTATCAAATGTGGCGTCTGCAAGGCTAAGCTCTCCGTTTATGAACAATGGATTGGTTAACAAAGAAAGGTTAACATTAACTCCTTAATTATTTTCTATTAGTACCTTTTATACAGTAAAAAATATAGAGCCAGTTTTGAACTGTCGGTTGACTAGAACAAAACCATTATATAATGAAATTTATTATAATAAAAACATCGAAACAATATGAGTAATGTATATTTTTTTCAGTGTTGTGATCAATTACTTATATAAAACTAGTAAACCACAGTTTTACTCAATGCAATAAAAGAAGAGTAATCTTTATGTTTATATAGGTTTGCTAGGCATCCAAACATTTAAATATATCTACAAATATATTTACATATCGATCAATGGAGACGCTTTGTGTTACATTAATATTATTAGAAGGATTCGTCAAATATTACAAGGCACAGACACGATATTCGTGGGTTGGGTAGCGGCGCGTGTTTCCTGCTCGCGCGCACCTCGAAGGGGCACGTGCACGACTCCTAGTATGCGTGCCCCATGTTGACGAAGCCTGTAAATACCCCACTTATTGTACAGTATGATCAAAATTTATTACTTTTTTGTATTATTATGATAGAAGGCATTATAAGTATGTAATATATTTAATTTCTATAAGTGTAATTTGAAGACAACCCGTTTCTGGAAGTGATCAGACAGTCTACTTGAGAAACTAAAATAATATAATACAATAATATGTTTGTCTCATTTGACCCATGGGACTACTCAATAGTGGGATTGACCTGAATTAGTTATTTTATTATTTGAAAAAGATACACTATTATTGTAATTGATAAGAAAGTTTGACGGTTGCATCGCACCTATTTCACAGAACATAGATTTGTATTCAACGTGGAAAAGTAAATTGTAATGATATTAAATTTGAACTTTGGTATCTTATAAGTGGAAAAGTAAACCAATAGGTTACTGTACTGTACTAATCGAAAGAGTAACCAATAGGTTACTCTTTCGATTTAAAACATGAATTAATTCTCTTCTAAGATATATTCAGTTATAGCACTAATATTTGATATTTTGAGAAATTTATATATGAAAATATATCTTTATTAGACGTGGTCATAAATTATTTCTTTATTGCTATCCGTTTCGTTAGTAAACCGGTAACTGACTAACAATTGGCTACCTGTTCCTACAATAAACATGTATCTTAAAAATCATCTGTTAATGAATGTTGGACCACCGTAGTTGATGTGTTATAATTTAGTATTCTTTAAAACATTATTATATTCTATTGATACTTGTTAATTAAAATCTAATAGTGTCAACTGCGAATATGTTCTATATGGACTATTATTACTCTACTCTCTACTCTACTCTACTTTCCTTTCTTCATCAATTATATTAAATTCTATTTAAAGGAAATTTGTTGGTCCCACCACTTTACGTGTTCGTGCCGATTAGATTATATCAGACTGTATAATGTTGTGGTTTAGAGCACGGTCGGTAGGTGTAGTGAGCGCGTCGTTTATTTTGTTTGAACCATTTTAAACGGCGACTAACCGTTGTATGTTCTATGGTGTAATTAATTCTTATTATAATTATTGAAAGTCCATTTTTTATTTAAATAAATATGTTTACAGAATCCCGCTAACTATAACTTCTGTATTTAGTTTTTTTTTTTTGTAAGTTACGTAACTTTATAAAGACAAGGCAATTCTTTCTAAGTTAGACAATTACAATGCTGCACAATATTATATCTGAATAAATATTTTAATAAAACTTATACAAAGATCAATTATTCATATTATTGTATTATTATTCATTATATCCTCAGTAAAAATGTTACAATAAAATTACTGATGCTTATTTTTTTTCATGTCTCGGTTTTGCACTGATGCTCTAAGTTCCCACGAGTTTTTGTCGCCTTTGTTTTGCGCAAAAGCGGCTTACGGAGTAGGTACCGTCTCACCACCGAGCCGGAGTAATGATCGCGGCAACACTCCATAATATTAAGACCCGGGCTTTGTTTTAATTCACAGTTGGCTTGTGTTATTGTTCCGGGCGAGTGCACTGTACGCAGTCGTTGCCACCACAGTAATCAAAATAGGAACACGTGCCCTCAAAACAACAAGGGCGAGTAATAAAACACAATTTGATGATTGAAAGAGTTCTAGTAAACCAACCCTATTTCTCTCTCATTTTTATAACACCCAAAATAGATTGTTTATTTTTTTATATCATGGAGGTGGTATAAATTCGTAAACAAGCATACGACTAGCTAGATACCAAGTGCAACGTCCTTATTAAAATTTTAAATTAGTTTGTGTGTTTGTTTGATTCATTTCTTGGCGTCATAATACTTGTAGCTCAACTAATCGTCATAAAATTTGATAGGTATATAATATTAAATTTCGTTGTATTTAGGATGGGAAAGGACATAGACTAAATAATTTCGGTCTATCAATAGACTATATACACGTAATATAATAGTGACGAAAACTGTTATATTATTTAACAAAGAAATATAATAATATATCCCGATTACATGAACGAAGTTGTGGGTTATATTAGTATTTACACAAATAAACGTAAGTTAAAAATAATTTGTAAAAGAATTTGTGTGAGCAAACTTCAGAGAGATCATTCGTGGAGATGTTGTTAAAGCAAATAGCAATGACAAGAAAAAAATGGTTTTGGTACGCCCACGGATCGTCATTCCCATTGTAGTTATACAAAAAGACACGTCAAATAAACATCGTCCACATCAAGGAGTTCTTAGAATGGACAAGTCTGTCGCCACTTCTCTGGAGTGGTGTAGTACATTTCAATGGAACTTAATAAAAAGGTAACCAAGTTTTGTAAAAATTATCTAAGAAAGTCTCTACATGAAATTAGTAACAAAACGAAACATTAAGTCAATTAATCGCTTTCTTATTTATACTGTCTGTTTTATTTATACCACTGAGGTGGCAACCTATGAACGCCTGCAATACCAGGGGCATTACGCGTGCGTTGCCGACCTTGAAGAAGCCTCTTTACCCCTTTTTTTAAGAACTCTATGCTGTTGCCTCTTGGAAAAGTCTCGACTACTGTACGGACTTTTTTATGGTCAGATCGATTTTATTATTCACTAGCTATACCCTAAAACTTCAATTAAGCGTATCAATTTATAAAGTAGGTACCTTATATTTTAAATTAGAATATTATGTCATCATCATTATCATATCAGCCTTCATTTGTCCATTGCTGAACATAGATCTCCCACATAAACTGTCATAAGGAACGAGCCCGTTCCCTTTGGCAGCTTCGGGGATTTTGCCAGTAATTGCCACGTTTGACAGGCGGGGTGGCAACCGCAGTTAGGCTTTTGGTGATATTTTGAGAGGTTCGCTGCTGCCCATCCCTCGATCATTAAATTCCCTTAGTTGTCTTTTACGACCCCCACGGTTAAGGAATGGACCTTTTTACAGGTATCACACGCTAATATCTGTGCCTCTAGTGAGAAAGGGTTCAATTCAAAATGGCCACTTTTCAGGAGAGCCAAAAAACTATTTTAAATAAAGAAAAAAAATTCTGTTGCTTTTATTATTTGCTAATTGAACAAGTCAATGATTGCATTTATAGTAATTTTTTCTCCTCTTTCTTATAAAATTGTCGGCTTTTGTGTAAAACCTATAGTTTTAAAAATAATTCTATTATACCTAATCACACATAACAAAAATTTTAAAATTATCATGTGAAAATAGTTTTAAGTTGAATTAAAACTATTTTATTGAAGTATTGAAGAAAAACAATGTTGTGTATTTTACGCTATAAAAAATAATCGCTATTAAATGGTGTAAAAGGGTTCAAATCGAACTGATTCATTTTACACAAAAATAAATTCATATTTAAAGGGTGGTTCTAAGTATCTTGTCATT